GGAATAGAAGCTAAAGCCCAGAAGATAGGAAGCAAGGACCCATCCTAGTCTAAGTTACAGTTTCTAAAATCACAATGCCATAGGTTATTGGTGGTGAACCTATGAAACACATGTTACTTTTCATTTTATTTTTTCTTTTTCTATATTTTAGGGAAGGGTATACAGGGTATTCAGGGTCTCACTACTAGATCAGACTCGTAGTGAGTCTCCTGTTTACAGCCTCCCAAGGGTCGGGATTACAGGCATGCACCACCACGCCCAGTCTCAATCACCATCTCGGTGCACCCCAGTGGTGGAGCCAGCACCGCAGGCCCAGGGATCAAATACCTGCCTTGCAGGTGCTTTAATCCACTGAGCTATTTGGCTGGCCCTACTTTTCATTTTACATAAAAGATGCTAATATATGAATTTTCCCTAAACTAAAACCTCAGTATTGAGATTTAATTGAAATGTTGTCACTTTGCAATAAATAAATGCTTTTTTGGTTGTAGGCTGAACACTCATCTCTAAAAGGTTCACGATCACTGCCATAGGTCTTAAGGGAAGCAGTTTGTAGTACAAATGTACAGGGTAATTTGTGCATAATTTCTGGAGACATAATTCATTTAAATGTTTTGGGACAGTTGTGGTGGTATATGCCTGTAATCCCAGCACTCAGGAGGCCGAAGCAGGAAGATCACTGAGTTCGTGGCCAGCTGGGGCTACAAAGTAAGCTCCAGGCCAGCTTGAAGTATACAGTGAAACACTGTCTCAAAAAGACAAAAATGTTTTTGGGTTATACCTTCATTATACTATCAAAACCAGCATGGTAAAAAAAAAAAAAAAAACCTATTCAGTTGAAGGAATTTTTAAGCCAAATAAAGAGACTTCAGTACATTAAGGAATAGAATGAAGAGGAATTCCATCCCATTTCTTTCCAGCTTGTGGAAAAGAACTTTAGCTTTTGGTGGTACAAGTTCATGTTCCTCCATCATCACGGAAACTTTTGTGGCTAAGTATGGGAAGTACTAGTTCCATCAAAAACTGTTGGTGGTCCAGGGGAACAAACCCAGCTCAGGAGAGAGCTGAATGGTTCCAAGCTCAAAGCCCTAGTGAATAATGAATCATAACATACATTTTTCTGCCCTTCTCTTCTGCCTCACATGCTAGTGACGAGTGGGGCCTGTCTGAACTGGTTGGTGGAGGAATGGGGAGAGGCTTTCTAGGTATAATCCATAAAAACATAACCAAGAGGCAAAATTATAAATCACTTGCTCCCTCTGTGATTTTGAGGCAAGCATTTAACTATATTTATGAGGCTAAAAACTTAAAAATGTAATACTTACTATGTTCTTTTGAGCGACTGTATTCTGCAAAAAAAGAAAAGATGAATGTAATTTTCTAAATAGGTAATTTCCAGAGGCATTAATCAACATTCCCTTCCAATAAACTAATACCCACCTTTGAGTAAGAAGGGTTCAAATAAATGAACTTCTAACAATTGCAAAGCTCATATTCCAAGGAAAACTAATGATTAATCAGCTTTAAACAATTCAAGGTTTTGGGGAGGTGCATTTTTGCTTCTAAGAATTTTCCCATAGCAGTGGCAATGCCTTTACTCAAGAGATAATTTGATTCAACTTCAGGGCACTGAGTGCTCTGCATGTCACCTTCCAAGAAAAGAATATTAGTGACAAAAAGAAAGTGCCTGGGAAGCACTGTTATTTAGGAATCTAGAAACCTTCTTGATTTAATCAATGCAAAGAGTTTAAGTCACAGAGTTAGCCTTCCTATAGAGGAGTTGCCAAAGTATTCCTGTCACTGCACTAGAGCTGTCTAGGTATGTTCAAGTTCAATAACTTTTTGTTGTCATTTTGAAATAGGTTCTTCCTCATTATGTAGGCCAGGCCAGACTTGAACTAGCAGTGATCCTTCTGCCTCCCAAGTGCTAGGATTACAGGCATGTGTCATCATGCCTGGCTTCAATGACAACAATTATGTCAGTGAACTTAGCATGATGGTAATGGAGCCTTCCAGTATACCACATACATACTGAAAACCAACATGTCTGTGAAAAAGAACAATTAAATAGTTGCCCTGAAAAATGTGTTTTATATATTGAAGGATATTTATTTTCTCATTACAAATTTAGATTGATCCATCTAGTGTTAGATATGAATGACCACTTGTTTCCATTTTAGGAAATGTTTGTATACATCATTCAAAATTAAAACTTTTGTAGGTATAGCAACTTCCAGAGGATTTGCTAAGCCACAAAGAGAATATAAATGTGTTGTATTGGGAAAAAGTTCTATTTTATGTTTCTCATAAAAAATAATCTGTAACTTCAAGTTTTCTAAATTCTAAGTATTTCCAAGCATAACTTCTTCAGTGAAGAGCAGTAGAAGTCAATATCTAAACTATTCTATAATGTAAAGTATACTTTAAAAGTTCCTTTTTCCCTGTCATATAAATTACTTTTTTTTTTTTTTTCAGAACTGGGGATTGAACTCAGGACCTTGCGCTTGCCAGGGAATCGCTTATTCTACTAAGCCATCTCCTCTGCCCCTAAACTACTTCTTAAAATACAGTATTGTGCTATGATTACAGAACGGACATCTATGTAAAGTGTATGGTAGGTGTAACACAGAGATCACACATCTGAAGCAGATAATATTTTCCTGAGGAAATAATCTCAGATCATTACAGAACCTAAATAAATATGCTTAATATCAAATCCCAAGAAACAAATAAAAGTGTCCAACTTTGACATAAAACTGTACTATGTAACTAATAATTTTTAGTACTGAGGGAGTTGTATATTTAGAAATGCTTGTGGAATTCAACTCTGTAAACCACCGGTCCTCACCTGTGGTTGTACATTTGAGAGGTAAAAAATAAAACAACTTCAAGCTTGAGCCCCTAAAATTGAGACATAACTGGTTTGCGTGTGGCTTGATTCTCTGGGTAATTCTAAAATCAAGGTTGGGAAACCCTGCTGTAAATACAGTGATTATTCCTAAAATGGTGTTTCTAAATATCCAACAGATTATTTTTTATGAGAAACATGAAATTAGAAAATATTGAACAATATTAGTATTAGCTAATTTTTTGAATAACTCATGTTAGATATTTCATTTTATGAATATAAGTATTTTAAAGTACTATACCATCAAAAATACTCGTATCAAACTTGAAAAAAATGCATTTTAGAAGTTCTCAATAATTACTGAGTTATAGGGGAACATACAAGTTTTGAGGGTTTTTTTAATGTATTTGGCACAGGGTCTCACTACACAGCTCAGACTTGTAGTTATCCTCCTGTTTTCAGCTTCTTCAGCACTGGGATTACAGGCCTGTGCCATTATTCCTGGTCTCAGTGACTAGCTTAGTGTGTCCAGGGGTGGGGCTGGCATGGCCTGTGGTGCCAAGGATCAAACATCAATCCCTGCACTTGCCTAAGCACGTGCTTAATCCACTGAGCTATCTCACCAGACCTCAAGTTTTGAGTTTTGCTTTGCTTTCAGACTGGAGGAAAATAAATACTGATTATGTCTATGATAAAATTATCTAGTCACCTTGGTAACTGCTAAATGTCTTCACATCATTTAAGTCAAGAAATAATTTTTATAATATGTAGGTTTGGATCAAATTGCCCATGAAGGGATTCAGATGGTATGCTTGTGTCAATGGAAACTACTAGTTTCTATCTTCATATCCCTGATTAACCTGGAAGTGCTCAGGATCACTGCAAAAGCTCCACTTAGCAAGGACACTAACACAGCACCCAAAAGTCAATTGTGTGAGCTACAGCTTCTAATGGGAAGGACAGAATCAAACAAGCAATTCTTCATTACTTTTTTCTCAAATTCCTGTGCTATGGTTATAATTCAGCTTGAGATATAATTAATTATGCTTTTCAAAAAATCAGGGAAAATAACTGGGACAATTAAATATTAAAGGAAAACACTTTACCATCAATAGAAAAGCAGTGTCAGCATCAGTGTTATGGTACAAGACCACATTATTGGACATATTAAGACTTTCACGGACTCCAAGATGGTAGAAGAGGGAAGGCTGTCCACAATTGTCACTCATGTCCACAATGGCAATATCTGAAACGAATAATGAGAGGATATGGAGAATGATTTCATTAAGATTACCTTCTTCCATAGGGCCAGCCAGATAGCTCAGCAGATTAAAGCACCTGCTTAGGCAGGTCCAGTGACCAGGGTTTCAATCCCCGGCTTGCCCTGTTGGTCTTGCCCCTGGGGCACACTGAGATGGAGAATGACACTGGGTGTGGTGGTGTGCACCTATAATCTCAGCACTTGGGAGGCTGAAAACAGGAGGATTATTACAAGTCAGATCTGTGTAGTGAGACCCTGTACATCCTGTACTAAATACATAAAAAATAAAAATAAAAAACAAAAATAAGATTATTTTCCATAAACCAGGGAAGAAAAGCAGCAAGAATTTAAAAACAAAAATCCTCACTTTTTGAAATGTTAGAAATGTAGTATCATTTAAACAAAGAATAAAAAGTATTCTTAAAAATTAAAAAAAAAAGATGTAGTGCTGAAGAATAGACTCGGTGTTGTCAGAAATGTAAAGAATGTAATTCCAAGGGCCGGCAAGATTGCTCAGGGGACTAAGCACCTGCTTTGGCAAGCACATGCACCAAGTTCCAATCCTCAGTACCATACGCAGCTCCAGCTTCATCTCCGGGGCACATTGAGCCACTGGGTATGGTGGCACACACCTGTAATCCCAGCACTGGGGAGGGTGAAAACAGGAGGATCACTACAAGGCTGAGCTGCATAGTGAGACCCTGTAACAAATACACAAATGAAGAAAAAGTGTAATCCCAGCACTCAGGAGGCTGAGGCAGGAGGATCACCATGAGTTTCAGGCCAGGGAAGCCTACATAGTAAGTTTATGGCTAACCTGAATTACACAGTGAGCCCCTGCCTCTAAAAACAAAAACAAAAACAAGACAGAGACCTCAAAGGGGCTAGCTGTCACTTGTTTAAAAGGAACCACAGGGCCAGAGATATACCTCAGTGGCAGAAACACCTGCCTGGCAAGTGTAAGGTCCTGAGTTTGATCACTGGTACAAAAGAAAGAGAGAGAGAGAGAGAGAGAGAGAGAGAGAGAGAGAGAGAGAGAGAGAGAGAGAGAGAGAGAGAGAGAGAGAGAGAGAGGAGAGGGAGGGGGAGAGAGGGAGAGAGGAAGAGTTAGAGAATAAACCACATGTGTGCTACATGCTGAAAGAAGGACCTGTAGGAGCTGGGGTGTAGCTCAGCAGTAAAATGCTTGCCTGGCACATGGATATCATCTCTATCCTCCTTACCACAAAAAAAGAATAAAAAGGTCACAAAGCAGTGTTGAAAAGCAACCCCTGACCTCCTTTATCTCCTCATACTTTTAGATTCCCGCTGTTACTCCCTTTAGACCTATGGAGAAACTACGGCATAAGGTTTCCTAGGTAATTACTGTTTCACATAAAATGGTTATAAATGTCATCCAAATGCCAAAAGCTCATTGAAGTCTCCCTAACTTGCTCAGACAGGACTCAAACTTGTGATCATTCTGTCACAGCCTCCCAAAGTACCGGAATTAAAGGTGTGTGCCATGGTACCTGGAAAAGCACCACAGCCTTGTCCTTAAAGGTCTGGGGCGCCATCTTCAGAGGGCACCAAGGAGCTCTGAGAAGAGGGCTCTTCCGCGGAGGTATGAGGAGGCTGGGAAGGGGGCTGCCTGGGAGCCCGGGGATGAGGGCGTGGGAGTGCCCGAGAGGAGGGGCGAGGAGTCTGGGGAGGAGGGTGTCTGGGAGTCCGGGGAGGAGCACGGGGTCCAGGGCAGGGAAGCCCAGGAAGGCGGGGCTGGGCTGATGGCAGAGGAGGGTTCTGGGGAGCCTGGGAAGAAGCCAGGGTCCCAGAGAAGGGGTTGCGGGGGGACCCCAGGGAGGAGGGGTAGTGAGCCCGGGGAGGGGGAAGTCGGGGAGGGTGGCGTTGGGGAGGGTGGTGTCGGGGAGGGGGGCGTCGGGAAACCCATGGAGGAGGGGTGGGGAGCCCTGGGAGGAAGGTGCATGGGAGGGGGAGGGAGGAGGGTACTGAGGAAGAGGGACCCGGAGCATGGGGTGGGGAGTGCTGGGGTGGAGGGGAAGGGAACCCTGGGAGGGTGCTGGTAGGGGGGAGGGAGGAGGGTGCTAGGGAGGAAGGGCCCGGAAGCTGGGGTGGGAAGCGCCGGGGTGGGGCATGCCGGGGTGGGAGGTGCCGGGATGGGGGGCGCCGGGGTGGAGGGCGCCGGGGAGCCCTGGGAGGAGGAGTTGGGAGCCCAGGGAAGGGGGACACTGAGATCACTGAGAGGCGGGGTGGGGAGCTCGGAGATGAGAGTGCCGGGGAGCCTGAGGAGGAGGGCACCTGGGAAGAGGGTGCCTGGGAAGAAGGCACCAGGGAGCTGGGGGAGGAGTTCACTGGGGAGGAGGGCACCAGGGCACCAGGGGAGGAGGGGCGGGCAGTCCTGGGAAGGGGGCGCCGGGGAGCCCTGGGACGAGGGTTCCTGGAAGGAGGGTGCCAGGGAGCCCCAGGAAAGAGGGGCAGGGAGCCTGGGGTGGGGGCTGCTGGGGAACCTGTGGAGGAGGACGTTGGAGAATCCGGGGAGGGGCGGGGAGCCCTGAGACGAGGGCGCCGGGAAGGAGTGCGCCGGGGAGCCTGGGGAGGAGTGGGGAGCGCAAGGAAGAGAGCACCTGGGAGGGGTACACGTGGGAGCCTGGGGAGAAGAGGTGGGGACCCTAGGGAGGGGGCTTCTGGGGAACCTGTGGAGGAAGATGTTGGAGAAACCAGGGAGGAAGAGCGGGGAGCCCTGAGATAAGGGCGCTGGGGAAGAGTGTGCCGGGGAGCCCCGGGAGGAGTGGGGAGCCCACGGAAGGGGGCTCCTGGGAGGGCTGCACCCCGGAGACTGGGGAGAAGGGGTAGGGAACGTGGGGAGGGGGCTTCTAGGGAACCTGTGGAGAAAGGTGTCGGGAAATGCAGGGAGGAGGTGCGGGGAGCCCTCAGAGATCGCCAGGGAGGAGGGGCAGGGAGCCCAGGGAGGGATGAGGAGTGCTGGGAGGGGCTGGGAGCTCCAGGTGGGTGGTGCCTGGGAGGGGTATGCCCCGGAACCCCAGGGAGGAAGGGAGGAGAGAATGGGGATGGAGGCGCCAGTGTGCCGGGGAGCAGGGGTAAGGGAGAGCCTGGGGAGGAATGGGGAGTCCGGGGAGGGGAACGCGGAGGAATCCTGAGAAGGGTGGGGGGGCCGCCTTTATGAGTGGTGTGGAGTGACAGGAGGGGGAAGCTTGTGTGAGGTGGCAACTAATCGGCACTTGCCCTCACCTGCATCATAGAAGGCGTCAAGCGCAGCAGTAACCCCAAAGTCGAGCTCCGCGACGGGCACGGTGATGAGGCGCGCTCCCTCTGCCTCACAGGCCTGAAGCAGGCAACGAAGTGCTCCCTCCTCAGGGCAATCAATGGCGCCATTCTGGGCCCGCTCACTGTGTACATATATCACCCGCAGAGCCCGCCACTGCCAGCCCGCGCCCGCGCTCACGCCCTCTTCCACGCCGGGGCCCTCACCCTCGCCCGGACTGCTCCTCAGAGTGGCGGCGACTGCCGCCTCAGTGGCCGCCGCCGCAGCCGCCGCCGCCGCCACCACAACAGCCCCATCTGATTCCATCCTCCCAGCCTCTCCCTCACCCCTGGGCGTCAACAGGCCCTGAGGAGACTCTCTCGCCTGTCCCAGCGCTCCCACAGGCCCGGTCCCGCTGTCGCTTTCCATGTAACAGCCGGACGCCCGCTTTCTCTGTCCACCTCAGCACAAGAAATTAGAGATTGTGACCAGAAACGAGCGTTAGAGCCACAAGTTGGGGTAGCAGCGCAAGCCCGGAACCAGTCCTGACACAAAGTGAGGCACTCGGAGCGGCTGGGGACAGGAAACTGCCAACCCCTCAGCAGCTGACTGGAGCGGAGCCGGCTTGCTGCCCACCTCCAGTGCTCTGAGAAAGCCGGGGAGAAAAAGGCGGGAACTGGGGACTTCTGGGCAAGCGCAGAAGGCTTCTGCGTGGTGGGCGGGGCGACGGCGCAAGACGTGGGACTACGTCCACGCTGCCCCCTCCCCCAGCGCCTAAGCGCAAGTAGCGGAAGTGGCGGAAGTGGCGGCTCAGGCGTTTTAGGGCTTTTCTCTGTGCTTAAGTCTGACCACTGTTAGACACATTATCGCTGACAAGATAGCTCAGTGGGCTAAACACCTACTTAGGCAAGCAGAGGAATCTGAGTTTGATTCCTGTGCCAGTCCCGCTCCTGGGTGCTCTGTGCCGGCCCGCTCCTTGGTGCTCTCTGCCAGCCCCAGGACCTGCCGTGGTGACAGCGCACGTTTGTAATCCCAGTGCTGGGGTCATGGTGCCACACACCTGTAATCCCAGGGCTAGGGAGACTGAAAACAGTGAAACACTGTACCAAATATATTGAAAAAAAGAAGCAGCTTTATCTACTTCCGCCCCCCCCCAGCAAATTGGGGCTGGGGAGAATGCTCCGTGGCATAAGCGCCTGCCTGGGAAGCTCAAGTTTCCGAGTTCAATCACTCGTTCATTTTAAAAATGTAGGACCCATTAGAAATCATTGTCGATACTCCTCCCTCCTTGTCGGCCGGGAACCAGGTGTGGTGGCACGAGCCTGTAATCCTAGCTGTAGGGAAGCTGAGACAGGAGAATCACTATGAGTCTGAGCTGCATAATGAGACCCTGTATCTACATAAACAAATAAATTAGTAAGTAAATAACAGATTTTTTTAATTTTACAAATGTAGGGCCCATTAGAAATCATTGTCCAGGGTCTGGGGAGATAGCTCAGTAGAATAAGTTCTTGTCTGGCAAGTGCAAGGTCCTGAGTTCAATACCCAGTACTACCAAAAGATAAAAAATTAGTCAGAAAAAAAAGAAATAATTGTCCATACCCCTCCCTTCATGCAGTCATCAGGTCTAAGCAACCACCAATTTACTGTACATTTCAGATAAATGGAACTGTACGACAAGCAGGTATAGGGTTTCATTTGCCTGGGGTATATATTAAATGTTGGGTTTCTGGGTTGCATGGTAAATCTCTATTGCTGTTCTGTGTGCATAAGATAATTTTAAATTAAACATTTTGAATGAGATAATTGTAGGGTCATTTGCAGTTATAAGAAACAAGAGAGCTAGAGTACCTTTGACTCAGTTCTTCCCAATGGTAGCACCTTGTTAAACTATAGTACATTATCACAACCAGGACATTGCCATTGATACAGTCAAGATAGAAATAAATCATAAATCACAGCCATTCCTGTGTCTCCTTGCCCTTTCCAACTACTGACAACCTTTAATCTGTTTTCTATTTCTATAATTTTCATATTTTAAGAATGTTTCATAAATGGCACTTTCATGGATTTTTTTCATTCAGCATAATTTCTCTTGGATTGGCCCAATTTTCATTATCAGGATGTCCAACCTGTTGTGTGGATGCACCCATTTTGTTTGCTTATAGATATTCAGTTGCTCCAGTACCACTTGGAGTTGCTTTGGCCCCTTTGTTAAAAACTGGTGCTGGTGGGGCCGGGGAGATGGCTCAGTAGAATAAGCGCTTACCTGGCAAGTGCAAGGGCCTGAGTTTAATCCCTGGTCCCGCGCAAAAAAAACAAAACAAAACAAAACAAAACAAAAAACTAGTGGTGGACCAGCCAGATAGTTTAGTGGACTAAAGCACCTGCTTAGGCAGAGCGCAGCAGCCATGGTTTGATTCCCCACATGGCATGCCAGCCCCGGCCATGGGGTGCACTGAGATGGCAACTGAGACTAAGTATAGTGGTGCATGCCTGTAATCCCAGCACTTGGGAGGCTGAAAACAGGAGAATCACTACGTGTCTGGTCTATGTAGTGAGCCCCTGTAGATCCTGTACCAAACACACACACACACACACACACACACACACACACACACACACACAAATGTGGTGTGGAGGTGGGATCTATTTTTGGTTTCTCTGCTCTCTTCCATTGACTTTCTTCCTTTTACTTCTCTTCCATTGACTCCTCTGAAACACCACATACTGCTTTCATTGCTGAAGCTATATAGTAGCTCTTAATGTCAGATAGAGTAATTCCTCTTTTATTTCCTTTTTCAAGATTATTTTAGCTGTGTTAGAACTTATGCTCTTCCATATAAATTTCAGAATAGGCTTGTCTATGTCTACAAGACAAACCTTACTAGGATTTTGACAGGAACTGTAGTAAACCTAGGGATTAATTTGGAAAGACTTAACATCTTTGTTATTTTGAATCTTCTGAACTATAAACATGGTATGTATCTTCATTTATTTAGATCTTATTTCCTTCATTAGAATTTTCTAATTTTCAACACAATGGTGCTGTATACATTAAGGTTATAGTCAAATGTTTTATTTTCTTTAGTGTGATTATAAATGATAGTGTGTTTGAGTTTAGGGTCCATATGTTCATTGTATATAATACCCGACTTGCTGAGCTCAATTATCAGTTGAAGATATTTTGTTTTCTTAGAATTTTGTATGTAGACAATCATGTAATCTGCAAATAGGGACAGGTTTCCTTCTTTTTTCCAATCAGTGTGACTTTTGTTTCTTTTTATTGCTTTAGCACTCTGCTAGAACTATGTTGAAAAAGAGTAGTGAGAGTGGGCACTTTTACCTTGTTCCTGATCTTATGAGAGAAAGCACTCAGGTCTTTCACCTTGAGAATGATGTTAGTCTTACAGTTGTAGATGCTGTTTATCAAATTGAGGAAGTTTCCCTCTACTCCTAGTTTTTATTGTATATGGGTGCTGAACTTCTAAAAATATTTTAGGTATCAACTGACACAATTCTATGAGTTTTACTTCTTAGCCTGTTGATAGTATGGATTATACTGATTGATTTGCAAATGTTGATCCAGCCTTGAATACTTTGAATAAATTCCACTTGGTTGTACTGTATACTTATTTTTATATATTGCTGAATTTTATTTACTGATATTTTATTAATTTTTGCAAGTAGGTTCATGAGAAATATTGATTATTTTTAATGTTTTTGTACAGAGTCTCACTACACAGCTCAGCCTTGTAGCGATCCTCCTGTTTTCAGCTTCACCAGCACTGGGATTACAGGTGTGCGCCACCATGCCCAGACTCAGTCACTGGTTCAGCACACCCGGGGGTGGAAAAGCATGGCATGTGGTACTGGGGATCAAATCCTGGGCCCTGCACTTGCCTAAGCAGGTGCTTAGTCCACTGAGCTATCTCACCAACCCTTTGTTTTTTTTGATATTGCCTTTTCCTTTTTTGGTTACCTAGTGGTACTAGCTTCATTAAATCACTTATAAATTATTCTGTCATTTTATTTACAGGAAGGGATTGGGTAAAATTGGAGTTACTTCTCCAGATGTTTGTAGAATTCTCCAGTAAGATCATTTGGACCAGAGATTTCTTTTGAGGGTCGATTATCTACAAATGTATTTTTTTCTAATGGTTAGAGAACTATTCAGATTTTTTTTTTTTTGATGTTGAGTTTTAGTAGTTTGTGTGGTTTTCAAAGAACTGGCCCATTTATCTTTTTTTTTTTCTGAGACAGCGTCTCTTATGTAGTTCAGTCTAGCCCTGCCTCACCCTCCCAAGTACTGGGATTATAGGTGTATACCAACATGCCTGGTAGGCCCATTTATTCCAAAATGTTGAATTTATGATCATAAAGTTTATATTTATTATCCATTTAATGGTTGAAAGATGTGTTATCTTATTTCATTCTGGATGTGGTGATTTTTGCCTTATCAGTTTTGTTATTTATTCAATATAAATATTCAAGTCCACTGATGCACTTACCAAAGATATTTTTATTCTTTCTTTCTTTCCT